AACAACAAAACAAACACAACAACAACAAAACAAACACAACAACAACAAAACAAACACAACAACAACAAAACAAACACAACAACAACAAAACAAACACAACAACAACAAAACAAACACAACAACAAAACAAACACAACAACAAAACAAACACAACAACAAAACAAACACAACAACAAAACAAACAACCCCCAAAAATTCCACTTTTTATCCATTAGAACAATATCAAAATGTGAAGAAAATAAAATTATTTTTCTTCCTAACATATCCAAAGCGTACAGAAATTCTTTATGAAAACCTCCCATGAAACATTTTGAATCGGAACACATGCAGCATTAAGGATCTAAATATTGTAATGATTTTCTTTATATATTTAAATATAGTGACAAATTTGTACATTACTGATGATATTTTTACAAGAGACATGGGCAACACAATAGAAAGCTCTGTTTGTATGTCATAAATGACAAACCAAAAAATACTGTTTTGCAAAAGGGCATCATCTTTATGCTTTTGGCTCACTGGACATTTTCAGCAGAACATTAAAAGAGCAAAACTATGGAAAATACACTTGCTTAGATTTAAAAAAAGAAAAAGTAATCAAAAGAAAATGCCAAAACATTCTGAGGATACCTGGGAAATTTTTGTATCGTTTTATTTGATAAGGAACAACCAGTGTACATTAAAAAAAGAAAATTCAGCTAAACAAGGTAGTGGCTTAAATCCAAAACAGCAATCATATATTGTACATTTTATGGTACTGTCAGATAAAAAAAAATCTCTCCATCATTCACACATTTTATTTCTCATCATAATTACAAAGTTTTACTGCATAGATGATGAGTGCAAGAATGAAGGGTTCTCTTTAAGCCTAAAACAAATTATGAGGTGACCAGATTGTATTATGGTGTGTGTGTATGTGGGTAGTGGGGCATCGAATTAACAAAATAGCTAAAAACCCAAACAAATAACAAAATAAATTACAGCTAATTCATTGATCCAGATGTTTCAAATAAAAAAAGCTAAACTTCAAAACATTTAAAATGTTTACAATTCATTTTTAAAAACTTAGTAAACCTAAATATTTTTCTTTAAATCAAGAGAGTGATGAATACTCACCGGCCAATTGTAATATAAATGACACATTTTGTATGTCAGCTTTTGAAGATAGTCTGGTTTTAGCCCAGAGTGGTCAGAAATGACGTTGTAATGTGTAGGTGAAACAGTTCCCTGCCGCACACTCTGAGACACTACAAAAAAATCATACCTGAAAAGAAAGAACAATTAGTAAAAACAACTTTATTAGAAAGCAAGCAAGCAAGCAACCTAGATAAAGTTCAATTTTTATACACGAGGACAATGTTAGGAAGAAAACTTGTGATGTTTCATCCTTTAGAACTTCAAGCTAAAATGATGTTTACACTGATGTAACTACACATGCACACAGAGGAGATGCTGAAATTTTAAACTTTCAAATTTTTTTTTTTTTTTTTTTTTTAATGCAAGTTTGGATTAATATCCCACATTTAATAATAGATCTGCCAAGTAAGGTGAAATGTAAGAATCTGAACACGAATTTACTATGGACGATATAGCAATTAAGACACTTTCTATACACTTTGACCTTAATAAATTGATTTCTCTTAAAGTAGCATTGAAGAAGAAAAAAATACAAAAAAACAAACAAACATTACAGCAAGCAAATAATGCATAACGTGGTCTGTAAAAATTTTTTCATTGTTTGAGAAGTAGTTGAAACAAATTTTATGTTAAGCTTAGATAAATTCTTTTCAATTGTAGTTGCAATAGAGTTGGTAGGTAGGATAATATATTTTCATTTGGTGGATTTGTTAGAATGATCCACTCTTCTATTTTGAAATATTTTATAACCTTTTTGTTTCACATTGAATATAAAATAATTTGGATACTGGTAACAATCTCAAGAATTTCTTTTTTTTCCCAATTTAGTTTTAAATTTGATTTTTTTTCTTATTGCTCAGGAGCAGAAATCTGAACAGAGATTGCAAGCAATCAAGATTTAATCAGGTGTTAATTTAGCATAAAGGAAGCCAAAAATATTTACATTTGTCAATTTTTCATTTCTTATTCCCATTGACTTTTATACAGAGCAATCGTTTTTATTAAAAATTGTAAACGCTCAGACATAGCCAATTCTGATCACAATATTTTGTGAGATCATTAACTTAAGCATAATAAATTTAATAGCTTTTCAAAAGAATTGTCACATTAAGTATAAACATGTAAAATCATGGGGAATAGCTGAACATTGTGTGGATGTGAATTTAGGGAGAGATTTGGTATTAATTATTTGAAAATGAGAAGGCAGATGTGCAAGGTAGCTATGAAGAACGGGGAAAGGTTTTCCATAATCACTGGTTCTGTATTGGAAGATAAGATTAGAGTTATTTGTGGTGCAATGAAAAGTCTTAATATTGCCAGAGATTTCATTGCTTAGACAATGAAAGGGGGGGGAGAAAGACGACGATGAAGGGGGGAAAGACGACAATGAAGGGGGGGAGATAAAGACGACAATGAAGGGGGGGAGATAAAGACGACAATGGGGGGAGATAAAGACGACAATGAAAGGGGGGAGATAAAGACGACAATGAAAGGGGGGAGATAAAGACGACAATGAAAGGGGGGGAGAAAAGACGACAATGAAAGGGGGGAAAAAGACGACAATGAAGGGGGGAGAAAGACGACAATGAAGGGGGGAGAAAGACGACAATGAAGGGGGGGAGAAAGACGACAATGAAGGGGGGAGAAAGACGACAATGAAGGGGGGAGAAAGACGACAATGAAGGGGGGGGGAGAAAGACGACAATGAAGGGGGGAGAAAGACGACAATGAAGGGGGGGGAGAAAGACGACAATGAAGGGGGGAGAAAGACGACAATGAAGGGGGGGGGAGAAAGACTAGAAGTGTGTGTGTGTAAGTGTAAGAGAATGTCACAATATGAATAACTCAAAAGAAAGAAAGACAGGAGAGAAGGGAGAGAGGAAGGTGTGCCCGCTTCTTACCATTCATTCCTCACTATGTCCCTGTCAACAACTGTACCCGGCTGAGGGTTCTTCCATCTCGAAGTGTCTCTGTATGCATTTGGTCCTCGTCTAATTGTTTGGCCACGATCTGGATTTTGCATGAAGAGACGAGTGTTGATCCTCTTTTTCACAATGACCACAGTCAATTTAAATCTGAAACATTTTTTCATTTTGATTTTTACCAAATTAGTTGACAAAGGCAATGAAAAATGCCAAATCCTGTTCTAATCAATGTAGAAAAATAAAATTTACAAATAAAAAAAAAAAAAAAAAAAATTAATTTGGGTAAATTTGAAAACATTTCTATTTTTTTTCTTGTACTTTGTGCTTTATGTGAATTTGCTCAAGGTAACCAAAATATAAAGTGAGTGAGGCTCACAAACTAAGTGGGTCAGACCCCCCCCCCCAAACAAGTGCCTTAAAAGAGAAATCTGAACTTTTTCATGCAGAAAAAGTGCCAAAAGCCAAAACTTACTTGTGGTTAGGGGCCAAATTTTCAAATGCATCCAGGTATTGCTTAACTTCATAATTTAGCACTAAATTCAACTGGCCATCACCAACACCATCTCTGTACACAAAGACGCGGTCAGGTAGATGATTATTTACCTCGTTATATCTCTTGAGCAGCACTGAAAACAAAAAGTTGTTAATTTAAGCCATTTTAAAACAAGTTGAAATTAAAAAACAGCAACAATGCATTATGCTATTTTACATTTTTAAGGGGGGAAAAAATACTTACTTTGCATCATTATTTGCAATTTGGATGATAATTCCTCATGGGCCGTCTGAAATGTTGTACGAGAATACCAGTGGGTCAAATCTTTATTCATACTGGCCACAATTCCTCCAACTGAATGTCCTTTTTTTGCAGAATCATGATAATGGTCAATTCCGACTATCATGTAATTAGTGAGCTGGAAATTTAGAAACATTTTCATCAAGTCAAAGAATGTTATAGAGCAAGAGAAATAAAAGATGGGGAAACAAAAGTCCAAGGCTAAACTCTTCATCTGTCTGTTATCTAAGCTTAACATAAAATTAACAATTCAACTGGGAAAAGACTCATTACAAACATACATTGGTCAAAAACTTCAATGGCTACTAGGCAGTATGTTGCCAGATTCTTAATATTTGTAAAATAATACAAAAAATTAAAAAAAAATAAAAATAAAGTTTATACAAAAAATTTCAGTATGAAAATATTTGCAAGATCAGCTAGAATTAAATCAAACTCATGCAGTGTTTTATGTAAGCCCATGAAATGAACAACACACATATTGTTCCAGTCTTAAGAGCCTGTCCATCCCATTGGCCCTTTACTTCTTTTTGGCAAACTACTAGAGGCCCTAATCAACTGAATTGGTTAAGCATCTCACATCGCAGGGTCTGCTTCCAGACAAGCAATATAGTTTTTGTTTCCTTTAGGCTAGCTGCTGATATATTAACAATTATTGCTGAAAGCTTTAGATGAGAATGGTAAAGCTCAGGCTGTTGATTTGAACATCTCGAAAGTATTCAACAGAGCTTGACATACAGGTCTTCAAAATTTTACTATTTCCAGAATAAATCTAAATAAATCTATTTTTTTATTTTTTTGCATTAGATATATTGAATTGAAAAATATATTCAAATCAGAATTGTAATTATGAGTCACCACGAGCAAAAATATACATTTTTTTTTTTAATGTATTCAATAATTGAAAAATAAAAATTGTAAATGATTACAAAAAAGACTAATGAATAAGATCTTACAGCATCTGTTAGGCTGTAACTAATCAAAACAAAAAAATAAGTGTATACAACACCATAATACTGTTGGGCACAAATTATAAGAAAATGTTTTAAATTTAAATTGTTGATTGAAACAAAAACTACTGAACAGTCTGATAATATAGCTATATTGTCCGGTATAATCCCCCTTGAAAAAAAATGAAGGTCTTATTTGATGGCACAATGATTTACTAATGTTCTTGTGCTTTGATTCTTGTCCATATACAATTTGTGAAGCTTCAGTAGTTAATTTAACTGCTCTTTCTACACCTTGCAAATATGCAGGTAAATTTGGTAACTTCAGTGTTGTTCCACTCATTAGAACCTCTTGAAGTTCATTATTTGTATTAGAGTTGAATGTAATTTTATTTTATTTAATTTTTTTAATGTCTTCTCTGGTGGCTCACTACTTCTAAAACAAAAAACATTTTTGTGCTGTAAATTTTTTTAATGCTAAGACCCAATTTTCTAAGTAGCAAATCTAGGGTTCACTTTCCTTCAGACAAATTCTTACCGCATATTCTAAGAGCAATCTTTGGTCACCACTTAAATCCTCCATTGCCCCTGCAGTAAAATATAAGTTATCTAGTAGGCTACTGACAGTGTTAAATTCTACATGGGGCAAATCCTGGTAATCATTTCTACAAAGTTTCCCTCAAGGAGCAGAAGTCCGGCTTTTTCTATCAATGTAATAAAAACAGCTCTAAATGGAAGCTTATTTTGATGAAATAAACAGCCAATGGTATACAACTTTTCATTTTTTTTCTCCAGAGCTGTAACAAACCCAACCTCACAACCAGTCTTTGTAGTCGTATTGTCCACATGAACTACCTTAATGGAATTTACACTGTTGAATTCTAGAACAGCAGCAACATCCTCGGCTAGAACACCACCAGAATCAATGTCAATCGTTATCTTCACAATTCTCACTCATTAATAATGTTCGTTTTCTTATTCTTTCATTCAGTAACCCCTTGTATCATAGTGGCTTTACTGCCTTGCATGGAGTAAAAGGATTAAAAAAATTGCATATTGCTTTTTGGGGTGCACAAGTAGAATATGGATCTTTGGCATGAGGCTAGGAAGCAATATTTATATCCTAGATAGAGTACACAGATACTCCGATCACAAGTCAAAGGAGTTAAGCCATCATTTTTTGACACTAGATCTTTCAAAGTTTAAAACAAAAAACAACTTACTGGTAAATGAACAAGCCAAGGTATTCCTCCAAGTTTGCAGTTTATTTGAATAGCAATTTTTGTTGCAACAGACATGAATGTATTTCTTTTTGTTAAAGACCTTTGCACAACTACTTGAGATGGAACTGCAAGTGGGGGGAAAAGAAAAAAAATGAAATCACTCTTGTTAAGAAAAGATAACAGGGGCAATAGAAAAACAATTAGGCCCAAAAAATTGATTTTTGTCAAATATGTGATGACATTGTAGCTCTTAATACATGAACTTGTATATAAAAATTACCAGTTACTATTAAAAATTAAATTCATTTTTACCATACTTTGATAATTCTAGAATCCATATTGCTGGGCCAAATTTAATCCCCTTTTACATTTGATTCAAAATATGCAAAAGTTTTTCTGGTTCAGGGCCTTTCAAAAGTGAAAGAAAATTTGGTTTTAAACTAGATTAATGATGAAAGGTATTTACCACCTAACCATACAATGTTATTTCACAAGAGATTTTTGCAAAGCAAACTTCCAAATCTTAAAGAGAAAAACTTGTTGTGATGCTATTTCACTGTCTAATGAATGAGAACCTACATAGAAACATTACCACAAAAAAACAAAAAACAAAAAAAAAAAACTCCCATCTCTGAAATAAAAAAAAAAAAAAAAAAAAACTCACTTGGCTTCCCTGCTGGTTGATCAATAGAACAGAATTTCTTTATTGCATCATAACGGCTTTTTGCATTGTCATGGACAAGTGCCACAACAAGTTGTGTAGAGTCTACAACATTTTCTTTGATGCAACTAATGTATGCCTGGCCTGAAGGATCCATATCACGGGTCTCACAACTGAAGTCAAGAGATATTCTGTCAGTTTTGCATTTTACATACCAAATAAACAGAAAAGCAGTCATTCTGCATGAAACAATTTCAAAAAGGTTTCTTAAAAAAAAAAAAAAAAAAAAAAAAAAATCATCATGTAACTCAATCACATTAGCCAATATTCAAAACTTAAATCCCATTCTATTTTACAAGCAATGTTAAGGGGAGGGGATTAGATATTAACTTCAAATCCATTTAATATTTCAGTTAATTATATTTTGTGACCAGAGTTCAAATGCAGTTTAACATGTCAAAATGCAAAAAGGGTCAAAACTAACCGGACAGGGTCTTGATATTTGATCTTCAGAGGATCAGCCACTCGTTTCAGGCATTCCTCAAAATCACCTGCCATTCTTGAATAGGTTCTGGGGTAAATAAGCAGCCAGTTGGCAACATTTCTCACAGAGTGCAAAGGAATGCCTCGCATTGGACCAGACCATTCAGCATTCTCTTCTCCTTTTATCTGAACACAAAAAAAAAAAAAAAAAAAAAAAAAAAAAATCACAAAGGCTAACTAAAAAACAGGCTACAAAATAAATACTAGTGTAACCCCAGTTTCCCATGTTCTTCAGACCACCATGGTTACCATCTAGCTGACTCCTCACTTGTTAATGTGTCCTTTGTCACTGGTATCGTGTTGATGACCATAGTTCCACTTGACTTAGTTTGTCCCTTCACTCCTCTGCCACATTGTGTTTTTGATCTCAGAGGGTGAGAAGATCACTGATGTTGACTGAAGTTAAAAACATGTCAACAGTGAGGAGCTACACAAAAAGAATTCCTTGGAATAAAGAATTAACTGGTTTAAAAAAGTAACGATTTGGTTTATATACGATTTGTTGTATACAGTGGTTTTAACCCTTCCCACTACGGCCATAATCAAATGAGACTGGGATCCCGTTTTGGAGTTTACAGCCCGTGTTAGTAATTTAAATTTTTAAGTTCCAGGTTTTCAGAGCTGTCACAAGGTATTGGTCAGGAGGTCTCAGCAAATGATGTGGATTCCAGTAGTAGTAATCTAGGGACTCCTCATGTTGTCCAAACCTCCAGCTTACAAGAGTCTTGCATCTGACAGGTGTGATGTAGACCAGAGTCTGGGGTTTGATTATCTTCCATCCTTAGCATCAAGCTTTTTCTAAAATTCCATATTTTCAACATTTAGGGGTTGTATAGCCCCCTTTTGAGAGTGGTCAAAGGAATCAAGACACCCCTTAACTCCAACTCACATCTCATCTTGCACTACTGCTCCATATAGGCAGTGCTAACCCCCCCCACTTTCTCAGCATCCTACTTCAGTCCACTCCAAAGACTAATACAACTGTCAATGTGATGAATCTAAACTTTTAGAATGCATAGACAAGGGGATTTCCAGTAATCTTTAACAGCATGTCTCATGCTGGTTGTTTTAGGTGATTTCTCAGTCAACCAGGCCGCACATCTGGTCGCCCCTGGTCACTTCAGGGCCAGTAATTAACTTTTCTTCATCACTTGCATCCAAAATAATGTCAGCCATAAAATTTTGACAAATGGCACAAATTAAAATGAATGAACCAATCCCCAATGTTATGTGCTAATCTATTTTTGAAGGGATAGATTTCTTTTGGGTGGTTGATTCAACCCATATGTTTTTTTCTGGCTCTGTCCAGAACAATTTTAAATCTATTCAGTGACCACCAGTTTTCTTTGATAACATGTTTTTCTATTTTTCAAGACAGACATCTTTAATGATACTGCGAGTAAGAAAGAGAATGTAAGTGGAGAATGACAAGTAATCTTGGTTTTGCTTAATCTTACTGAATTGTTAAATTTGGACTAGATTTTCCTTGGAACTGTTTGGGATTTTATTTTGAAACAATATATTTCAATGCTTTTTGTTTTTAATTTTGTTCAAATTTTCAATCCACTTTCCTGCAAATTTCAATGATTATCATCCAGTTAAGTAGTCTCTTTTCTTTTTTAAAAAAACCCTAAGATCCCAGTGCCAGACTAGAAACCACGCGCAAATGTTCCACAGAAAAAAAGATACATCACACTAGAGAGGAAGAGAGAAATTGGAGAAATGTCAAAGTAAAATAAAGAGAAGCCAACTATGAATCAAAATTAAAAACAACAAAAAACACAAATGAACAAATTTTATCCTCCACCTAAGCATTACATTTTCATCACCAAATAAATAATGAATATTAGGTTTGGTTAATACTTACAAATTTACCCTCGCCAAATATTATTTTCTCAGGTTCTAAAACTCGAGCAGGAATTTTGGCCAATTTATCAGACAATTGCATTTCCCACTGGGCAACCAATTTTGTGGCTTCTTGATTTCTGTAAAAGAAATTTTGGCTTTGAAATCTCTTCAAAGAAAAAAAAAAAAAAAAAAAATCACAATGTAAAAGAAACCAAAAAGATAGTTTTTGAGACATTCTTTGAATTCTTTTATCTTAGCAATGTTATAAAGTAATAAGCGTTTGGGCACTTACTGGCGAGTTTTTTGAATAAATTTCTCTAATCTATCAATCCTGGTATCAGGTGTCAGCCTGGTGCTTTGAGCCAGATCTCTCATGATGTCAAAATTGGTTCGCACTTCATCCTCAAGACCTAGGTAGGGAGAGAAGAAAAATTTATGAAGGATCAAAAAGTCTGACAACATTTCTATCAACATTCACAAACTAAGAAAGCACAGTTCTTGTCACAATAGAAACAATTTACTAATAAGAATGTAGCCATTACATACACAATCAATGGAGAAATCTATGGAATTTACATAACCACTGCCTTGGATATCTCAAAGGTAATTGACAAGGTGTGGCAAAAAGGGTTTCAACACACTCCTCAATTATGGCATCTCTAGAAGAGTCAATATATCCTTTCCCTCAGGTAGGTCCATGAAAGCCATAAATGACCAGTTTTCTGATATCCATGAGATCAATGCTAGGGTCCCCCCAAAGTTTTCTGCTTGGCCATACCCTCTTTTTGCTTTTTATTCTACCTAGAAACATTCTCTAATCATTAGTAAATAGAAATGCTGATGATACCAGTTTCCAAAAGCACTCCAAAAATCAAGATGCTTTACAGCTGATCTCTTCATTGACAGCTCAGTTGGGGGAAAACTGGCTTGAAATTTTCAATACCAATCCAAGAACATTTCACCAACATTTTCTGTCACAATAAACAGTAGCATTCAATGAAGCACCATGCTTTAAACATCTATTTGGATTAAAGAGCACTCCAGTCCACAAATAGAACATATACATATGATACATTGCTAAAAATGCTAGGAAAATAGTTGGCTCCTTTTCCTACTCCAGAAGTTTTAAAAAAAAAAAAAAGCCATTAAGTCACAAGCAGTTACTGGGAATATTAAAGACGAAAAAAAACAAAAAAAAAAAAAAAAAAAACAAACAAACACACACACACACACAAACTTAAGAGCAGAGAACAATAAAAGAACAAGAATTAAGACAGAAGATAACAGTTAACATTGCATTTAAATTTTTGAAGATAAAGTTGACTGGGAAATAAGAACCTGGAAGAAAGTCCTACAAGTGAGAGGTGTGACAGAAGAAAAAAAACAAAACAGAACAAAAACACTAAAAATGTAACAGGAGCACCAGACAAGATGTGGCAGCAATATTCAAAGCAAGGATGAATGACTTACAAACAGGTAAAACATTTCTTGCCCCAGTTAACAGATTGTAGGTTATTTTTTTTTTTAAATCAGCTGCCAAGACTTACTATTAAGATAGGAGTAATTAATTATGACATCAGCATAGATACATAGTTGAGAACTGATGACATCAGGAAGGTTGTTTATGAAAATTAAGAACAAAGTAGTCCCAAGGCTCTGCCCTTGGGGAGCACCTGCATTAATTAAGAAAAAAAACTGTAGAGTAGTGGCCATTTAAGACAACTTTCGTTCCTGCTATACTCTATCGTTACAAGTATCAGGTTATATAAAAAAAAAAAAAAAAAAAAAAAAAAAGTATTGCTGACATGCCTGTACTGAAGTTGCCCAATCCTCACTTTGTACCAGTTATCAAAACTGTTTATGACTACTATATTGCTACTTCCATGACAAATGTTCAGATGAGCTACATTCTCTAGTTCTGACTTTTACAGCCATGACTTACCATGCTTTGTCTAGAGTTGAATTGCTCACATTATTTATAAAGGCAGAAATTCCACTCTGGTAACTTTTTCACCAGAGAACTGCTGCTTTGTGGAACAAACTATCACATGTTTACTTCCCAGAGCACCCCAATCTTAACCTCTTAAAGTCAAGAGTCAATTGCTATCAATCCTCATAAAAAATCCTATTGGCAAAAACCACAAGAGTTGCTACGTTTTCAAATATACATTACCACACTGGAGTTAATTTCTTTGAAATTTTTTAAAATTTTACTCACCTGTGATGGCTACCAATTCTGGCACCAGATAAATTGGTGTGTTTTGTCCTCTTCGGATATCACGAGCTTTGGGTTTACTCAACAGCATTGGCAAATTAGTATATCGAATTTGAACACCATAATTCTGAGAAAGATAAAATTATATATATATATATATATATATATATATATATATATATATATATATATATATATATATATATATATAAGACAGAGAGAGAGAAAGAGGGTTATTTATGGGTTCAGCTGGTATGATTTGGGGTGTAAGTTGTACTTTGGATATCTTCAGTGCGTCATATCTTCTCACACAATTGACAGATCAGGTTAGATCTTTCTCTTGGCCATCAATAATTAGCTATTAATACTTGTTCTAACCCTCTCTTCTGTCACAAACAAACACTGTTTCCAGTTGGGCTGATTAAAAAGGTTGCAATCAATGAAGAGCATCCAGAATTGAGCAATCAGAACAAGGACAACCAACTTCATGCCTGCAGACCTAGCAGAAAGTTTGCTAGGATGTCCTACTACAGTTGCCGTACTCACCTGCCCTTACATCTTTAGATTGTCACTTATTTTATCCCTACAATATTATCTTAAAATGGTAACTTCAATTCTTTGGAAACCTATAAAAACCACTTATACTAATTCATCACACAAAAAGATGCCAAATTCTGAGTGGGCAGAAATGTGAAGCTGCCTCAAAAGGTAGTGAAAAAAAAAAAAAAAAAAAAGCAGCACATGTGGTTGAATAAATCTAAGAACAAATATATATTCTCTTTGAACTTCATTTAAGCAGTACAAATGTTTGTCCTGACCCAATAAGAATTGAAAAAGAAAAATTTCTGTTGCTCACATTTCTGTAATAATCAACAAAAGAGATTGGAGTGTTGTGTTTGAGAAAAGTTCTTGTTGGTAACATGTTCATGTCAATATCATCTATTCGATATGTCCTGTTATTGTATCTGAAAGAAAATGAAAATTATAAGGTTCACATGGCAGCAGGCAACACAGAAGAGAATGTCTTGTTCTCAATCTAAAACATCCAAAAGAACAAGGAAAACAGATTCTGGGTAATGACGAGAAAAAAAAGAAAAAGAATTGTAGACTTACCTTGTGAGTACAATTCTTCCTAGAAGACGACGCAGAATGGCTTCTTTCCAGCCTGGAGAATTGATCTTAATCTTGCAAGACAACATGATATCTGCCACAGTGTCCAATCGCATCACTTTATGTGAGATATCAACACACAACATAGCCCCTCTTTCATAATTGAGAATGCTGCTTTGAATGCCATCTAAAATGGACAGGCTATAAAATAAAATTTTTTTTTTTTTTTTACAATAAAAAAAAAAAAAAAAAAAAAAAAAAAATCAAAGAGATAATCAATTCTTACAATTTAAAACTTACCGGTGTACCTTTGCCAATTTACTTTCTTGATCAAACTGTTTAGGAACAGAATAGTAATTTCTACCAATCTGAACTAAACTCAAAGACATTAGCATCCTGAAGAGAGAGAAAGAAAAAAAAAAAAAAAAAAAAAGGAGAGATTTAAAGAGAAAATTTCATTCTCACTACAGAGAGAGAAGAGAAAAAAAAGAGACATTTCAAGTTCAAAGCAATTTCAGAATCTGATAAATGCTACTTTTGAGATCTTTTTACTGAAATTACAAAAAGATTAGCCAAGTTTCCCATCTGACAAGAAAAATGTAGACACTGAATAAAACTAAAGCTGCTTTTTTTCCTTCTATTTATTTAAATCTGAATCTTACAGAATTTGAACAAGCCAATAGCCCTAATATCTGATGAATATTATAAATCACTTTAATTAAAAAAAACAAAAAAACAAAGAAAACTACACTGCATTTCAAGTTAAAAAGAATTAACTTACTGTTTGTAGAGAATGTTGAGCAGTTGAATGATAATGGGGGAGGTGCGCATTACTTTACATCTCCATGTGATGGTGATCTTGTGAACACTGTTAGTGAGATCACTACGAGAGACAAGCTCCAAGGTCTAGAAAGCAAAATATTCATCATGAAGTAATAAAGCAGGTTTCAAAGTCAAGCCAGTTTGTAAATCCAGGCAAAATAAGGTGGTGGATGGAGAGTGAGAAAAGGTAGGTGAGCACACCTGCATTAATAACAAAAGCCTTCAATCATTTCATCCATCAATTTTAAAATTTTAGGAAGCTTTACTTGTCTTTAGTTCCCACTGAGAAGAGTTTATGTAAAACTTAGGATTTTTAGAAAATTTCAAACACCAATGACAAAAATTAGCAGATCCTTAATAATGTGAAGATATTAGTCATTCATTGTTGCTTTAAGAAAGTACACACAAAAAGAACATTTTTATTTACTTCAAGAGTTAGCAGAATAATCAAGAAATTAATTCCTTGCTGAATATGAAAGGGACAATGGTTACTCTCTGAAGCCATACAAATAAAGAAAAACTTACATCTGGTAACTGTTTTGGCAAAAATAACATCATGCCATCAAATAAGTAGATGTCACCAAAGTATTTTTTGGAATGCTGTTCAAGGAGACCCTTTCTCACTTTTTTACCTTCTACTTCAGGGGCAAATGTGACATGGTAATGATGCAAACTATATGCAGGCATTGTGAGAATATCAAAATAATTGCAGTAAAGATCCAGCGTTTTTCCTGCACTCCCTGGAGAAAAAAAAAAAAAAAGACACTTAAACATTGAAAAAAAAAAAAAAAGACACTTAAACATTGAAAAAAAAAAAAAAAAAAAAAAAATAAAAAAAAAAAAAAAAAAAAAAGACACTTAAACATTGAAAAAAAAAAAAAAAAATATTTCTAACCAAATATGACAAGAGTTCAGTTTTCTTACCTTGCTTAACATGAACATTTGCTGGTCTGGAATGGACATTTTCATCCCTCATCCGCCTGAATGAGAGTTTGGAAAATTCAGAGGAGAGTTTTTCAATGCCACCAGGAGCTTGGGTGGCTCCACCTCTATAACTAGCTCTGCTTGAACCAGATGGCATTGATGTAGCAGCATCTCCACTGCCAGAAGTCAGAACTGAAGGTTGGGGTTGCCCCCCTGCACCAGCCTGGCGCTCTTGCACCTGCAATGGGGCTGGCATTTGATATGGTGGTTGCTGATGCTGCCTTGGAGTATTCCAGACAGATGGCACAGGAGCTGGGCTAGGTTGTTGAGGAGGTCCATGATACCTTGGACCAGGCTGTCTTTGGGGAGGATCAAATCCACGACCCTGCTAACAATGAAATTTTAATTTATATAAAAAGGGCACAAAACAAACAAGTAGAAAAATATTGTGCTCAACAAAAAAAAAACAAACAAAAACCTTATTTTGGTTGTTTTCATAAGTTTTTTTTTTTTTTAGACACACACACAATATATATATATATATATATATATATATATATATATATATATATATATATATATATATATATTTTTTATATTATATTGCAATTCAGAACTAAAAGATAAATAAAATTTTCACACTATTATTGGGCTGTCAATAATACAGCTTTAATATCAGATATATAGGGTGAGAGAGATTAGACAGAACAGCTTTGATTGCCAAGGGGGGAGAAAAAAAAACTTCACATGTATGAGGTTGGGTCTTGCCATAAACTACTTTACATAGAATATTTAGTGCATTATTCACTAGATTTGATGTTGATCTCTTGAGAGGAAATGTCCAGACATGAATGTTGGTTAGATTCTTTATCAGCCACAACATGAAACAATAGACTCCATAATTACCTTACACAAATGGCTAAATTTCATGCAAATGTAGGCTTTTGACAGCCAACGGGGAAAAAAAAAGCCCTAATGTAGTAGAGAGCAGTGTCAAGTGATTTTTAGGAGCAATTGGCATTTAGTCTGCTGTGATATGAACCTGTTTATAGGGACCTTCATTATACAATACTCGACTGTTTTAATACAATAATGTATGCTGCATTCAATCAGCAAGCCATGTCAAATTCATTGTGTCAACTTTATATGCCATCTCTATTTTTCTTCAATAAAACTGCTTTTGACAAAGACCCGAGAACTGAAAGATCTGTACTAATGTGTCGGTCACCTGTTGCTTCTACTTCCTTGACCAAAACGATACAGTATTCTCTTGAATGTTTTTCTCACCACATCTTGTACCTGTCACTGGTTTTTGTTCACTGTATCTGTCAACAAAATACCCGTTTATAATAACTAGCTTGTAAAAATCTATCCTATAACATGTCTATAATGATAGACAGAAATTAAAGAATGTTCCAATTACATTTTTAAGTTTGGATAGCAAAGTTCCTCTTAATTCTTCAACAAAATAAAGAGAATGCTATTTTTATCCTGACATTATATAGAAATCTGTAATAAAGAGATATCAAACTTTATCTATTGCCTTAAAATTAATTCAACCTAACAAAATCAACTTTATGACAATAAAGTGAATTTGGGATTAATATATATTGAATGAAAGTACAGAAAGGCAGGCAGGATCCAGAAATGCAAAATGGGCAACAGCCTTTTTACAAAAACTTATTTTCTGATTATTCACATAGAAAGTATAGGAATTTCACATTTACTTTTTTTGTTTGTTTGTTTGTTTGTTTAAAACTTAACGACCCATCGATCAGCAAGAGATCATTTAAGTTACTTTTTTTAAATCAATTTTTATTGATGAAAAATAGTCAAAAGAGTAGGGTTCATACATTTGGGAGAAGATGAAAAGTTAGTAGGGGGTGCTACAAAACTCATTGTTGTTTCAAAGGAAAAATAAAAAATAAAATGGAGGCCACTTCCTCTTTACTTCTTACAATTTCTCATTGACTTTACAAACAGTTAAAACAATGTACACAGCATAAAAAATGTTACATTCTTTCTTCAAGATACAAACCAACAATGAAAGTTGAAAAGCAAAGCAGATTAGTAGGGAGGAAAGCGACATTTATATTTTTATGTAGAGGTATTTCAGTAGGTATCCCATACTGGCCTAGTTTATGCTATGAGAATGGGTCAAAATAGTGAAATTTCCTTCAAGTTCAACTGGCAATATCTCTGGTATTTTTAAATTTTTTTAATAAAATTAGTATGTAAATAAAATTTAATGTTTTCTCTTTATAAAAGGTACAATTTTTTTTCTGCTGTGTGATAGTTTTTAATCCAGGACTCTTTAAATGAGTGACAGGCACTTCTTTTTCCACATTCTAAAATCAAAATAGTCCCAGGCTCTTGTCAATTTGGTGGGTTTGAAATAAAATGAAGTTATTTTTCACAAAAGCAAGTTCAACAATTAACCAAGAAAATTTTAACCACTAAAGAAGATGACTTAAGAGCCTTTTTAGAATCTTCTCATGATGCTTTTTTGTTGATGAACTAAGTGCCATTGAAATTAACTTTAAGACCCATTGACCAACTCTGATGAAGAAGAACCATATCAAGTGATCTTCAGATAGGAGAGACAAGGCCAATAAGTGGCTGTATACTTCGATTCCAGTTTTTACATTGGTCAAGTCACAGACATTACATCTCCAACTAGTGCAATAAGAAAGTTTCTAGCTCCAATTAAGAGTAGAAACGATTATTTCCAATTTGCCTTTGGGGGATGACATTGCACAAGTTGAATCAACTTTTGTCTTAAGATGGGATGACAGTTTTAAGTGATGGCAGAATCTGAAATGTTCTAGAAATATTGGTCATACAAGCCTATAAAGAAATTCAGACTGCAAATCACCATTTAGAAAGGAAGTGCAGTATGGCCATTCAAACTGCTCAGAAAGTCTTTCATCAGTTCCAATAAATGTAGTTTTACTCATTTTAACTTTTTTTTTTTTTTTTGAGTTGTAAGGCTTTGCAGTAAGCATTTGTTTGAAAAACTGACCAGTGATTCCTTTTGTATAACAATTTAAATTTTTTATGTTAGTCCTTTTTGGGTAATTGCATAAATTTACAAAATTTTTAAAAAAATAATTTGGAGAAAAGGGGTTAATATTATAAACAAAATAACGGTTTTGTTGAATTCCTCATCCAAAATGAGTAAAAGTTTCAGGTTTGTATCTCCGCCAGTATCTTTTTTACAGCAAGTCCAAAATTTGTTTCTGTCTGTATTTAAATGATGAAGAAACAAGGAATTTTATTGATGTATTCCCATGAAAACAAAAATAGCTTAATCTCTAACACATTATGAAACATTAAGAAGTTTCAATGACTTAACTGCAAAATTGAAATTTATATGAATGGTCAAAGTTGCATTCCTATTTTATTTTTACACTGTTTTTAGGATGGAATGTGATGTTCCCTCTTGTTTAATTTCCATCATTAATTCCATTGGTATTATTTTTCTTTTATTACTTAATGACATTGCATTTATAATGATTTTTCACTTGTTTGAAGCCTGCATCTTCACATATAGACTGTTAAAATGGGCTTCTGACCCAATCTCACTCTAGATGGAAGATCCAATGAACATTGAATGGTCATAATTGAACAAAATAAATTTGACACCATTTTATGTTTTGTCAATCTCTGTATACCTACATGAAAAGCTTTTAGATATATTGGAAAAAAATAAAAACGTTTGGGATACATAATTTCAGTGAAAACTTCAGCATTAATTGTTTCAAACGAACTATGATTATGAGTAATCTTGGGCCAAGATGAATCAAAAATCAACCAAGTCACTTACATCTCCTCCACCATTACGACGTGGAGGGCCACCATCCTGATTGCCACGGCCTCTCCCACCTCTACCTCGTGCTCGGCCTCGACCAGTCATCTATAATAAAATAGTTGTAACAAAAAGAAATTTTAAACAATAAAACCTTTTCTTAAATGACATTATGTTCTGAAAGAACAATTATTAGCAGTGAATTATTTGCAAATATTTTATGTCATAAAAATTATTTTGAGATGACTGATGTTATAGCATATAGGAATGCTGAAAAGTTCTTTACCTAGTCAAGAAAGAATTGCAAAATTTTGATGAGTTGAGCTAAAAACTTTCAGCACTCACCCCCATACAATTTTGAATGCAAGAAACTTCAGCTTTTCTTTTATATCTTCATGCCACAGTATAGTCAGCATTAAAATAAAAAAAAAATCCATTAAAATATATCTGGCTTCTCACTATGTGGACAATTGCGTTCAAAATCCAGATGAAATCTTTTTACAAAATAAATTAAGGCAAAAGAATGTATTCTGTTGTTTAATCTTTCCTTTAATTAAATTGAAATCATTTTAACTATTCCAAACAGAATTACGTAGCTTAAATAGAATAGTGAAGCGTATTCAAATATTTTCCTCTTTACTCTTCAGTATTAGCAAGCAAGGTACAATAAGACGATAATTTAAAATTCAATCTAGGTTAAAAAGGTGAAATGATAAATTATCAATTACGGTTGCAAATTAAGATTCATTCTGCTTGTCTGGACATACAAACAATTGACACACTAACAAAGAGAAAGCAAGACTATACCCAAACCTCAGCATTTTAAAGCCTTAGGGTGAAATCTTAAAACTACACCAAGAAATATTGCTACATTTGTTCAAAAACTATCCAATGTTACATATACAATAATTATCAAGATATACACAAATAAAAAAAGTTTTATCATCAGTCTTTATTTAAAAAGGAAAAACCAAAAGGATAATTTAAAAAAAAAAAAAAAAAAAAAAAAAGAACCTTCCAAGTACCTTTTTATACATATACACACACACACAAACGATTTCATTAACCACATAGCCTACAAAGCATCCCCAAAGACAAATCCCAAATTCTAGTTGAAAATATTTACATATAAAAAAAATAAATATAGATAAAATCCAATGCTTTCAACTTGCAAGGGAATTGTTCTATGATCAGCCATACCCTCCTCTTCTCTTCCAAATTCTTTCTCTCATTACCTTCTCTTCCACCCACAAGCCAAGGGCCTATGAACTCTGAAGCAACCCGACCTGAGAATGACCTGGTTCCAAAATTGACCATGTGAATTCCAGGCACCATCAGGCTAACCTACAGCAGGTTGATTAAATTTTTGGCCATCAAGCAAACACTACGTGATTTGTGCCCCATCCTCGTGCACACCCAGTCAAGGACAAAGAACTCCTGTGACTGTCTTTGGGACAGCAAAAATCTAAAAAAAGGTTTTCAGTTTCCTGTCTGACCTGTGGCAGATGAACATTGTTGGGTGAATCATACAGATTTGCAAATGGACTGCCCACTGAAATGAAGACAGCAAAGTCTGTCAACTCGAGGATGAAAGGACTACTATGAAACTGAATCACCAACGAAATGCCTGTAGGAGATGCTGTGGATCCCCGAACATTTCCAAAAGAAAAGAAATCCAGGAAAATTGCTGGCCAACCAAAATATTGTTTTAGCATAAGAAATCTCACTTCGGTGAATTAGAACTGTGTGGAGATATCAGATTGATTGATAAATAAGTTGATTTCTTAGCTTGATCTTTTTATATGTATGTATTCACTCATACCTTTTGTTCTTTGATCCCTTTCCCCTTTGTTAAATGAATTTTCTTTTTCTTTCTTTACCTGTTTCTGTATTTATAAGTGTTTTATTTTGAAATCCGTCATCTTATGTCTGTTTTTCGCTGACTCCTGTGTGACAATTCCATTCCCGAGTGAAGACTGAGAAAAGATCCCATGTTTTCCTTTTTTTCAAAACCTGTTGTTCACTTATATACTACAAGTTCATAACATAAAATTGGGGGCTCGTTCTGAGAATCTTTTCTCCCTGTTTTCACTCAGTAGCAATCGCATCACTTCAGGGTGTCGGCGAACTACAGACCAAGATGTCGGTTATAGATGGCGTTCTTGCATCACCCTCCATGGAGAAATTATGTAAGCTGAAAAAGACAATATAGTTGAAATAGGGAAGAAATTAGAATTAGAGATTAGGAAGTCCATGAGAAAAACTCAGCTAGTTAGAGTAGTCGGAGGAAAAGCTGAAATCGAAAAGGCTAGAATCGAGTAAGAAACCCAATTTCAGGAGTTAGATGGAAGGCAGGAACTTCACAAAGCTAGAAGTAGTGAGTTCGACTTAGGTCTGCAATTTAATGAGGCTGACGTCAACAAGTATTTCAAGCATTTCGAAAAGGTCGCCTCAAACTTAGCATGGCCCATAGAAACATGTCTGATTTTACTGCAGACCGCATTAAAAGGCAAAGCCCAAGAACTGTATGCCAATCTCTCAGTAACAGACTGCGCTGAATATAGCATTGTCAAATCAGCCATTCTTAAATCATACAAGGTAGTGCCAGAGCCTACCAAAAAGGAAAGAAGCAGACCTATTTAGAGCTTTTGAGACAATAGGAAATCTATTTTGATAGATGGAGCTAAGCAAAAAACATTGAGGCAGATCATTACAGGCTGAGAGGTCATTCCATGTCAATTCACCAGGGCATTACACCCACCGACACTGAATTACTTGAAATTTGGCACAAATGTTCCCCTTCTTGAGTTAGGAAAGGGTGCCAAATTATTTTGTACTAGACTTTACCATTCCAATTTTAAAGGGGGGGGTAATTTTCCTATTTTGCCTCTAAATTAAGGCTGCACAACATCGCCGAATTTCAGTGTTTTTTAAAAATTAAAGAAAAATACTTCCATACCTTCAATATTTCTGAAATTTGGTATGTAGGGCAAATAAGTGTAGAATCCAAATATTTAACTATTTGAAGCCTACACTTGATAGAAAAATTTATTTTGATCATCCTAATAAATGACCCCATAATCAACAACTTTTCACCTATGTAGCTTACGGTCAGTCTATCAAAAAGATGTCCTCTTCAATTTTCATAATATTTTTTGCCTAACATCTACAATGCCTGCTCAAGTTCACCAAGAAAAAATTGTGAGGGTTTTATGTCTACTTTAGAAGATATGACTCTGCCAAGTTTAGAGTTTTTTCCTACGTATGTGCAGGATTTCCGAGAAAGATTATAATTAAAGACAATCATCCTAATGCTCCATGACCTCTAAAATGTTGATATTGTGCTAAGTAACTTCTTAAACTATTCAATAAGATAGTTTTTATTAATTTAAAAAAAAAAAAAAAAAATTATTTAAATATATTTTGCAGATATTACTTTTTGTACAGATAGATTGCCTTTAAAAAGCGGTAAACATACATTGATAATCAACAGTGCATAGAAAATTTGTAAATGGCACTTAAATGAAGTTAAAAGAAATTCTTTCTGTTTGTGTTTCTTTTAATTTTATTTTGGTAAATTATTTCATGAAAAAAAAAAAAAAAAAAAAAAAGGTAAAGTCTAGTACAAAATAATTTGGCACACTTTCCTAACTCAAGAATGGGAACATTTGTGCCAAATTTCAAGTAATTCAGTGTTGTTAGGTGCAGATTTCAACTTTTTGCTGGTGTTTTGACATGAAATGACCCTGAGGCAAATGATCCTGATAGGAGTTTAAAGAATGTGTCCCTGATGATTTAAAAACCTACCTTGACGAAAAGAGGGGAGACAGTTTATGAGATGGCCACCCTCAAAACAAATACACATTAACGCATAAGTAGGGCAAACTCAGTCACAGTAACTCAGATGAGTTTGGAAGTGGTCCACACCCAAGACATGGAAGTTCAAAGTTGGGTTGATTGGTTAGTTCAAACCAACCACCCAGTCTAAGAGGTACCAACTCTCAAAGTCCTAGTCCTCAGACACCAGTATGTCGGCAGATGAATAGGAGAGAAAGGAAACTCCCAACGTGCCACTACTGCAATAAAGTAGGACACCTCATGTCAAATTGTTGGATGAAGTGGAATGTCATGTCCAGATCCCTAAGTCAAAACAAACCCCAAGGGTTAATTTTTTCCGATAATGTTACCATGGATAGGAAGTCCAATGACAAAGATGGGAGGGAGGAGTATAGGCCATTTGTGGCTAATGGTACTGTATCCCCCGTGGGTAACCCCACGGAGAAAAAATCCATGAAGATCTTGTGAGACACTGGGGTGACTCGGTCCCTGATAGTGAAGAGCTTCACGCCATGTGGATCGAATTTAGCCACTGGCGAATCTGTTATTATACAGGGTGTTAGCAGCAGCTTTGTTAGCATCCCCCTGCATTGAATCCATCTTATGTCAGGGTTAGTGTCCAGCCCAGTTGAGGTTGGAGTGGTACCCAGTTTGCCTATGAAGAGCATATCCATGCTGTTAGGAAATGAATTGGCAGGTGGAAGGGTGATACACCACCCTAAAGTAGTTTCAGAACCAGTTGCCTGGTAGACACAGAAAATATCAGAATCCTGATGTGGGATTAAGTTATCCTCCCGATAGTCTCCCAACTGGGAATAGCAATGATGATGAGCCTGCTATGAACATTCCCATATCGTGTATATTACTTGTAACAAAACAGGGGAGAGATTCTGAGCTGACCTTACTCTGCCGTTAGGTGTTGCCCAAGAAAGTTCCAACCAGGTATTTTATAAAGAATGAGGTACTAATGAGGAAGTGAAGACCCTCCCACATCTCAGCTTCAGAAGACTGGTCAACAGTTCACCTAGTAGTACTCCCTAAACAGTACAGAAATGAAGTAATGAGAACGGCTCATGAGATTGGCGTTAACAAGACACATAAGAAAAAACATTTTTACTGTCTGAGTATCAAAGGGATGTGTCGGAGCATTGCCAGGCTTGCCACACCTGCCAGGTAGTAGAGAAGCCGAATCAGAAAATCCCCATCACATGCTTACATCCCATCCCTGCCTTCAAGGAGCCCTTTTGTTGCATTATTGTAGACTGTGTTGG